GCCACATGTGCCCCTAGTAGCGTCCTTGCTCCGTTCGTAGCGATGCCCTTTGCTCCTAGTAGCGTTCTTTGCGCGATGTGTTTGTTTCTTTGTAAAGAGTTGTGTGAAACTGAAGGAGTTGGGGTCGTTGGGCCTGCTAAGTGGAGAACACAAAGCAATCGGTGTTAGCTTTAATGTGTAAAGAAAGGTGTTGACAAGTCGCGTTACCTAAAGTTTTGCTTCACAGCTAAGTGCTCTAAAGCTTAGTGTTCAAACATGTTCCACCTAGCCATTTAATGCTGTTGGCAAATCCATAGACGCATCCAACAAGATATACCAGCACCTTCAAAGGGGTCACCAATGGAAGCCCCTACACTACCTACGGATCTCCATTGGACACCCCTTTGAAGGTCCAGGTATAACAACTATTTGTCCAGGATCTTCTGTTAGCCTCTTTGGAGTCTCTATTACCTGCAGTGGTCTAGATAAAACGACGAAGTCTGGTGAGGCTGGTCACCTGCCTGACGAAGTCACGACCTGGTGGATGGACGGTGGACAGGATTGGTTTCCCCAAAGATGAACAGGTGGACCCTTCGCTTCACCGGAACATTGATAGCATCGCTAGATCGTCGTAGCAAAAACGGCTCAGTCAAGTCCGTCTAAGCCGGCGGCTGTGTCAAGCCTGGCTCCGAACCAACCTGACCGGGGTCCGCTCCACGGAGACCGGTTCACATGGGTTTGGGGGCACAGTCATGTCATCAGGCCTTCTTTGTACATCGACTACATGAGGACTACAAGCAAAGCCTCATAGAGGCTGACTGTCCCAATCCCCTGATCCTGGCTGGATTGCTCCTTTGATGGACTAAGCTCGGGATTGAGACATGCGTGATTCATATAGGTGATTCTTGAGACAAAGTGCGTATTTTGGAGATGATCTGGATGAGGGATTGACATACGGCCTTGAAGTTCCACAACTGCAAATGAAAGAACAGGCCAGCTTGGTGGGAAGAAGCTTGTTGGCGTGAATGACGTCTTTGTCTAAATAGAATCCTGAGGAGTCCTTTGTTTGTTGCGAAGCGAGACGTGAGTGATGGTTGATCCAGATTTCTGAATTTGGCCAGCTGGCTGGACTGTCCATGTTGAAGAACACAATGATCCAAACCTTGAAACACCTCCGCCAGTGTTTTTGGCGAGTCCTCTTCCCTGTCGATGGTCACAGTATGGTCTCGGCCTCGGTTTGCTCGTTTTGGCACTCAGCAGCCCCAAAAGCGGCCCCTGTGCAGGGCCAGATGAGGCCTAGGCCTCATGTCTTTTGAAGGGGTGTTTCCCGCGCTGAAGATAGGACTGTTGCATCATGGAAAACATTGGTCTTTCATGCTCAGCCACAGGGAAGGATCAGAAGGAATCAAATTTCTGCAGAAGAGCAGAAAAGCAAATTGCAAAGGTATCGAACTGGATCTTGCTGGACAATCTGGACATGTTTCCTAACAAGTCACAGGCCGCGACTCAAAGAGGATTTAGTTTATAGCCTGTAGCCCCTTCTGTTCCTCACCATCTTGTTCAGGCCCCAAAAAAGAACCAACGATCCTGAACACATCCGATACCTTTTGCTCCCATCCACCCAATATTTGATGCTGCCCTCGGCCCTGGGTCGGCCCCCGCCCCGTTCGTTCATTCGGCCACGGGTCGACTGGGTTCGGTCGTCCGGACGCCGAGGTTGGTGAGCGAAGTCTACTTGCTGGCACCTCCATGGACAGACCCTGTGGATAAAAATGATCGTTCTTGTCCAGGAACGAATTTTTGGTGGAAGTGCGTATAATGACATAGGGCTATATGGAAGGCCTCTTGTTGGAACATACTGTATACTGCATATAATACTATAAACACACCTTGCAAGTCCGAAGTCCTGGTTTAACGAGGTCATTTGAAAAGGAACAAGTTTAACTTGAACATCGCGTTTGTCGGACACAACGCTTTTTGTGCCTTCCACAGCCGCATCACCACATCAGTCCACATAGGTCCTGCCAGAACGAACAAAAAAACAATCAAAAAAGTCACCAAACTGTGTAGAACATGGTACATTACCTCCTGGAGTGATGTTCTAAGGCCTAAGGGATCCTTCACCTGTCTTGCCATGGGAGTTGCGAAAAGTGACCAAACTTCAAACACTTGGGTGCCCGTCGTGGTTGCTAAGCGTTTGTCTCGATTGAACCTGTTTACATAAACGCCGGAACCATGGCTACAATTGAGGCAACCATGGGTTATCAGATTTATAAACATGTGTACAATCACACTGTCCTGTTTACTAAAAGAAGTCATAGGTTTTTGATGGATTGTTAGTAAGCCTGCTAAGACTTATTAGATGGAAGCTAATTTTTAGATCAAGTTTAGCCTATACTTCACTTGAAGTGGGCTAGTCGCGTTGGCTTGTTTAGCCCACTTAGCTAAGCGTGACTGTCTTCTTTACAAAACAAAGATAAACGGCTCTGGCGTACTTATAAGAAGGATTATAACCGTGCCAAAAATAATCTGTTTTTGGTCCGTGGGATCGTTTTTTACATTCAATTTGCTGGCCGTGAAAGGTTTTTGTCGGCGTGCGAGCATCGGGTTCTTCACGATCGTAAACATCTCAAGTTGGATGGGTTGCTTGATTGCTTCATTCCATGGAAAAGGGATCTGCATCAGGACCAAAAGCCAAGGATTCATATGGTGCAGTGGAGATGCCTCGACGGTGAAAAACCATCGAGCTTTTAATCTTTTGCGGCGCCGCGCATGCACCATCGCAAGACTTGAAGGAGTTGCGGCTTAGAAAACACGAGTGCACTTGGTCTTGAAACTTTAAACACGCGGGGTCTAAAGAAGTTTGGTGTGTCCCTTGTTTTGCTAAGCTGAGATGTGTCATTGGAGGCTGGTTGGTTGCATGACTTTGAGCCGGGAACCTTGTGTGATAGAGAGGGTCACAAGGTCGCGAGAGCCCGATCCTTTTGGGGGGGAAGCGGAGCTGGGCGAGACGATCCACCGCTACTACAAGGAGCGCGCAGGCCCTAGGATGGCAAGGCAGCAAAGGTGGAGGAGAAGATGGAGAAGTCTGAGGCTTTGGCAAAGGAGGAGGAGATGGCTGCGGCTGAGCAAGAGGAAGAGGAGGTGGAGGAGGGCACTGCTGAGGGGCAAGACATTGAGGAGGTTGAAGTAGAGGAATTTTAAGGAAGGTGCAGAGCATCAGCGCGAGGAGAAAGAGCAAGAGAACAAGGAAGATGACCTGCATTTGGAGCCTGATGAGCCTGATGGTGAGTGGCAGCGCCATGATGACACGGCGCCCTGGCGACAGAGTGGGGAAGGGGCAACGGAGGCATCATGGTGGCTGGGGGCATCATTGTGGCTGGGCGTCACAGCGCAAGCCGCGCTGGGCGCAGAACAACTGGCGCCAGAAGAAGGGCATGGGCCAGGGCAAGCGAGATGAATGGGGCGGCGAGTACGCTGAAGGCGGATACCGGGATGTGGCCGGCAACTTCTTTCCGTGCCTTGGAATGAGTACTTATTATAGATCCTTTTCAAACGTTTGTCACATTGTCCAACAGCCTTGCACCTTTTTGTCGTTCTGTTCAACGAGCCGGTTGCTCGAGGCCCTGTATAGATGTTTTTCCTGTTTGCCATACTGTTCAACGAGCCTGGTGCTTAAGGCCCTGTAGCTTTGCAACAGTTTGCAGCTGATTGTGGGACTGCTCAACGAGCCTGTTCATCCGGGCCCTGTCACCGTGCTCTCTGCTCCGTCGTCTCAGGTATGGCAGTGGCCGCTCGCGGAAGAGGACGCCTGGCAAGGGATGGCAAGCGTGGCAGGAGGCGAAGCAGGCGGAGGAGCGCAAGAGCGGCAAGGCCAAGGGCAAGCTGAGGGATGATGGATGGACGGCCGCCATGATGTCAGCAGTGCAGGATTTGGCTGGGCGGCGCGCCGGGTGGTGGATGGGCAGCGCCAGGCCTCCTCTAGCAGCTAGATGGCTAGATGTGGTGAAGGTGTAACCTAGGCTTCAACGAACTTCACCACTGGCCATCAAACTGTTTTCGATCTTGGCCATAGGCCTTCCACCACATAGTAGCAGCGCGTGATATGAGTGGCTGCCTGGAAAGAGCAAATCGCAACAAAACCTGAGGCGCGTCACCACTTTAAGGATGATTTGCACTTCTCTGGAACAGCTCCAGGCCAGGCAGTCAACAGAATCCTATGAGCATCATCCACTGGACATCGCAACTACAGCCAACCCGCCAAGAACTCCAACATGTCACAGCACCGCTCTAGGCCCTCCACTGTCTCATGTGGTGAGGTTCAAACATCACATCAAGCACTCCTGGCAGTGCCTTGCAGGGAACTCATACTCCATACTTACACAGGTGATTTTCAACGCTGATTTCGAACACCTTGCTATAGTCGGGCAACACACGTTACGACCCTTCTCAGGTGGTAGCAGTCGAGGTTCCTTCCAGGACCTTGTCACGAAAGCTAGCAGGTCATTGACTTGGGACATGTTAAGTATGTTCTAACAAGAGGCCTTCCATATATAATATGCATGTTAATAATATATCATGGACAAGTACAGTATGTGTATCAGGCGCACTGCGTACAGTGTTTTTGCTTACAGTGCGCCGAAAGCCGGTGGTTGACTTGCGTTCGAAGCTCGTCCGCTCTCTGACCAGGAAATGGACTACGCATGGTTGTTTGGGAAAGGAAAATGGGAAAATGGTCTCCATGTTACGTTTGCTAGTGAGTCGGAGTGTGAGTACTGAACTTGCTCCTGCTGCTTACAAGTGATGTGCTCTTTAAAGATATAATATATAGTTTTTTATACAACCCATACCAATGTGGGATAAGCAAAATAGGCCAATCCCCAGCTCGCCATGAAACAACCGCAGGAAAATTGTAAATAACAATCATTGTTGTTTCGAAGTTTGAGGATTTGAGCATTGTCATGTGTTGAAATCAACATATATATTTTTGTTTTGCAACCACAACTAAGACTGTGGGTTTCATAGAAAATGTTTGCTTCAAAAAACTGTCCTGCCTGCTGTCTCTCCAAGGCAACTGTTTGATTTCCCTGTTTGAAGGCCGATTATAGACCTTGAGGTTTTTGACGGGTTGCTTTGGTCCAGAACGGATGATCATCTTGAATCTTCCCAAATCCTCACGTCGCCTCACCGGGTCTCCTTCATTCGACAGCTGTCGATTTGAGGACATCGATCGTGCCTTCAACTTGGTGCGTGGAGCGGGCATCATCACGGCGCAAGTGGCCAACGACTTCGCGATGGCCATCTCGGAGGAAGGCGACCGGGAGACGCTTTTGAGAAGAGTCTGGACAGGACAATAAAACAAACTGTGCCATATATGCAATAGTCATGTACATTTTACCTCATCATTGATCCCAATGTAAGTTTTCTTAAATTGACATATCGGGGTGGATCCCTTTTCTCGCCCCTGGGGGTTGGGTTGTCGAAAATCCCACACCGAACCCAGGAGGTTCCTTTTTAATGCGTTAAGTGACTCTTAAGTGACAGTAAGCCAAAACTGAGCTCAGTTTTTATTGGTCAGGTTGTGCTTTTGGAGGACATTGGTCCAGGTTGCTTTTGGTCAGCTACTAGGGGCAATTGGGGAGAGACCCTTTTTGGAGGCTTCGAAGGGCGAGTGGACCTCGATGTATTTGGGGAGCCTCTTATTGTGAGCAACCAACATTGAAAACAAGAACGACAACGTGTAAGCAACTGGCGCATACTGGTGCAAAATAATCATTAAACCTGAAATTGACAAGTTATGTGTTTACTTTTGGTCATGCTGGTCGGCAACATGACACGAACCTGGTGGCATGTACACAGTTCTTTTTCTGAGCCTTAGCCGTTTGCATGAAACTGAAAACCATCGAAAAGCAATTCTATAATTTCTAGGCTTCCGCAGTGAAATAAAGACCCTTTTCCCGGGCCCGATGTCTATATTTTCGTGTTTAGGACAGATTATTATAAAACTTTGACATGTGCCATGTGTATCATTTTTGTTTCATTTGTCCCGAATGCGTAGCGAAGGGTTGTCGTTTATAGTGGTGGGGGTGTGCGGGTTGGACTGCGTTCGCCTCGCGTGCTGTTTGTCGTCGTCTGTCGTCATCGTGGGGTCTTTTCTCGTCGTCGTGGGGTGAGTCATTTGTCCCCATTGGGCAAAGCTTTTGGAGAGGTTTGTCGATGGCGGGTGATCGTCAGATTCGTCGCGAATATGGTTTTGGGATGTTGGAATTTGATTTTTTCAGTCGCAGGATTGTTTTTTCAATATTGAAGATTGAAAACATAATCAATATTTTTGTGATCAATATCGACCAATATCATGATCAATATCAAGACCAATATTACAACCAATATCAAGACCAATATTAATGTCAAAAGGAACTCCACAGCATCTCCGCAGGATTCTAAATTCCACAGTGTCTCCACAGGGTTCAAAACTCCACAGGAACCCCACACGATCTCCACAGGATTCTAAACTCCACAGGAACTCCACAAGAACTCCACAGGAACTCCACAGGAACCCCACAGGATCTCCACGATCAATATCATGATCAATGTTCAAAACCAATATTGACCAATATCGACCAGTATCATGACCAATATTATATTGATCATGATATGGAATTGTTAGGCTTCCAAGTTGACCATTTTCATTTTTTTGAAAAAGTATTGGGACCAATCGTAAGATTGGTATTTTCAATGTCGGATCCTCAGAGTAAGGGAGGATGAATTCACTGCGCAGGCGTAGCGTTTTGTGAGATCCGCAGTTTTCTGCGCGGTCACATTGATTGGGTGTTGGATGTGGCTGTGACATTGGGATTTGCGTTTCAAGGTGTTGCATCGATGCTGTGTTTTCGTGACAGTGGATTTTAAGTGGATGGGAATGTGCTCAGAACGTGTCGAAATCATTCCCCAGCGTGCGGTGCAAATTCTGTTGAAGCTCACATGATATGATATTGTCACTTTTTGTGGCAGGCGCACTACTTTGTGCGGGTTTTGAGGTGTGGAAGTGCGATTTTCGTGGCAGGTGCAGGGGATCGTGAGGTTGCGAGGTGTGGCGGTCATATTTCGTGACAGGAGCAGTACTTTGTGCCTGTTAGACGTGTGGACACGTAAATTTGCGTGGCAGGCGCAGGGAATCGTGAGGTTGCGAGTTGCGTTGGAGGTGAATGTCGCTGTGACATTGGGATTGGAGTCTGGGAGGGCGTTGAAATCGCGAAACTTGGCAGGACTGCTTGATGTGTGTGCTCCGATGGGGCTTCTCGCTTGACTTCTGGAGGAATCTCCTATGAAATGCTCGTTTTGGAGACTTTGACATGTGACTTTTGGAGGAAGTCTCGTACGAAACGCTTGTTTTGCAGACTTTTCAAGCGTGCTCTTTCAGGAAGTCTCGTGCGAAACGCTCGTTTTGGAGACTTGACAAGTGAATTTTGGAAGAAGTCTCGTGCCAAATGCTTGTTTTGAAGACTTGACGTATGACTTTCGGAGGAAGTCTCGTGCGAAACGCTCGTTTTGAGTGTTGGGTCTGTTTATATAAGTTGGACTATGTCGCCCATGTTGGACACATTTTGGCGCTACCATCTATGTACTACACTCTAACTTTCACGTGGACGAAGATGGTCCCAGGTCATGTTTGGTCGTTTTTTTTGAAATCCAGAGGGGAGTCCGCCTAAACCAGGGGAAGGCGGACTCCCCGTAAAAACTCAAATTTTGCCATTTTTTGCTTTTGAATTTCAGGAAATTCTGCCATTGCCATGATGGTAGCAGATTTCGGCTCAAAGCCTCTTACGACTGGGAAACACATGAAGAGCAAAGCTCCTATCAAAAGGGAAGGCTCCCATGAAGAGGGGACCTAAACCTAAAAAGAAGAAGTGCAAAAAATTGGGGGGAGAAGCTGCCACGCTTCCCGGTCGCTTGTGGAATGCGTGGAGGTGCTAGTTGTATATGGCACTGGTTCTGACACATATTATTCTCTGCTTGCGCATCAGTGAGTGCTTGAAATTAAGAGCAGAGGACTCCTCGTTCAAGGCTTCAACGGTGTACATCGGGCCGCTGAAGCGGCAAGAAGCGATGCGCAAGCCCATCCCGAAATCAAAGCCATGCTGCTTTTAAGTTTATTAAGCAGAAAGGAGCGACCAATAGGAGAACCGAGAACAAAGGCTCGCGAGGTAAGGTGACATGGTGGGACAAATGGAGATGGCCCGCAGAAGGATTGCTGTTTGGTCATGTTACCCCCGGGCACATGCCATCATGCACCCAGCCACCATAAAAGTGACAGACATGCCACCTGAGGGCGCGCGCTCCAATTCATTGCGCCGCCCACGGGCGCGCAATGAGTTGAATGGTGCTACCTACGGGCGCGCCATGAGTTCAATTGTGCTACCTGAGGGCGCGCAATTCGATGTGTGCTACCTTCAGGCGCGCACAGTTAAAGATGTGCTATATCTATGGACGCACTCTTTGAAAAGCAAAGACAAACGGCTGTTTCCTTTTCTAAACCCTTTATGTTGGGTATATATATTGGGGACCGATGACTTAGGACTCGTGAGGTCCAATGTATTCTTGCTATGGCCGGACGACATAGAACACTGCTTGGTTCCACCATTCCTGGAATCTTTAAGAGTATGTCTTGTGTTTCCTGGTTCTTCTCCTTTCCTCATGATATGGGAGCAAACTTCCAGCAAATCCTATATAGGTCATTGGCTGGAAGTAGATTTTTTTTAATCAACCCCTTTTGACCCCCCGTGTTCTGCGCAGGATGCCGGATGACGAGACTGAGTCGTCGTCCAGCGAGTCAGCGTCGCCGCCAGAGGAAGAACGAGAAGCAAACGAAGTTGTAGCCCTGACCGAAGCACCATGATTATGAGGATGAAGAAGATGCCAACGCAGCGCTAACAACCTCAGACTTAGCCCCGCCTAATCTGTCATAATCTGCGAGCGCAAAGAAAAGCGCTGCCACTTAGCAAGTTCTGAAAGCTAAGCCTGGGAGGCTGGCATTGCCAAGCCACGCCAAGACTTGCTTTTGTGTGGGCAGCGGGGTAACCCTAGCTGCACCGCGCCTGCATTGGACTGAGTTGGCCCATCACTGGCCAGCTGGCGGGCCAAGCTGGTCCAAGTTGATGAATTCGCTAGTCAGCGTTGATGTGAACAACCCGTAGCCGTGAAAAGTTTGCTTATCAGACATGCGGGCGTAATACATCGCAATATCATCTGCAAGGCCGCTAGCCTTTAAGGTGTTGACCATGGTTTGTCGGCCTGAGTGCGACCGGATGGTTCTGTCAGTGGGCTCCTCAAAAGTAGATCTCAGGCGCGAGATGGCTTTGCAAACTGTGTCTTTGTTGCGACCTTCACTGTCGCAGTCCATACAATCAGCTGGACCAATGCTCCAAAACACAAAAGTACTACGCCCAGCTTAAATCATTTTGGGTCCATGACCCCAAAAATGCGACAATCAGTCCTGGCACAGATGCGCCCGATCCACAGACCCACCTTCAACCACTGTATTAGCATCGGTCTGCTCACGCATACAAGATGGGACCCTGACCCTTGCTTTGACATGTGTTCTGGTGCACCAACCCAAACATATGTACGTATGTATGTATGTATGTATGTACATATGAAAATTAACACACACAAATATAATACATTTGTGTAGTTATGTATAATATAAAGCGGTTTACTTGTATAAACTTGCCATCATGGGAGTCCGCCTTCCCCGGGTTTAGGTTTAGGCGGACTCCCCTCTGGATTTCAAAAGCAACGACCAAACATGACCTGGGACCATCTTCGTCCACGTGAAAGTTAGAGTGTAGTACATAGATGGTAGCGCCAAAATGTGTCCAACATGGGCGACATAGTCCAACTTATAAACAGACCCAACATGGTGATCGTGCAAGATTTCATCATACATCAGCCTTCATCTCTTCAGAAAAAAAGTGCCAAGTCCCCTGGAAAAAAGTACGAAGTCACCAGATCCTAGCTTCTTTGCAGACTTGAAGTACAACAGTGTCCGACCAGAGTGTCCTACGAGAGTGTCCCACAAGAGTGACATATACAAGAGTGCCCCGCAGGAGTGTCCTACAAGACTGTTTCGCAAGAGTGTCCTACCAGAGTCCCACAAGAGTGACAAACAAGAGTGTCCCACAAAAGGTTCCTACAAGAGTGTCCCGCAAGAGTGTCCCTCAAGAATGTCCAACCAGAGTGTCCTACAAGAGTGTCCCACAAGAGTGTCCTACAAGAGAGTTCCGCAAGAGTGTCCCGCGAGAGTCTCCTACAAGAGTGTCCCACGAGAGTGACATACAAGAGTGTCCCACAAGAGTGTGCTACAAGAGTGTCCCACGAGAGTCGTCCACAAGAGTATCCGACAAGAGTGCCCTACAAGAGTTTCCTACAAGGGAGTCCTACAAGAGTACACAAGAGTGCCCCACAAGAGTGTCCTACGAGAGTGTCTCACACCAGCGACACATTAGAGTGTCCCGCAAGAGTCCTACAAGAGTGTCCCACAAGAGTGTCCTACAAGAGTGTCCCACGAGAGTGTC